AACAGAATGCAGAATCAATTGGCAGATTCTTGCTTGAAGAAATAATTTGCAGATGGGGATGTCCAAGTTGGATTGTTTCAGACAATGGGACTCCTTTCATAACAGCCTTAGAATGGCTAAAGAGCAAATATGGAATTGTTGGTATACAAATATCAGCATATAACTCTCAAGCAAATGGAGTTATTGAAAGAGGTCATTGGGATATCAGACAATCACTCAGTAAGGCTACAGGAGGAGACTTGAAGAAATGGTTCTGGTTTCTACCACAAGTTTTGTGGGCAGACAGAATTACAATTAGAAGAGGACTTGGGTGTTCACCTTATTTTGCAATATGTGGAGCACATCCAGTCACTCCTCTGGATTTAGAAGAAGCAACTTGGCTTGTTGAATATCCAGATAGGTTGTTGACAACTGATGAATTAATTGGATATAGAGCCCAAGCTTTAGCAAAGCATACATATCATGTGCAAGATATGCGGAAACGTGTAGCTGCTCGGAAAAAGCATGAAGCACAGATATATGGAGAAAAATATAAACATGTCATCAAAGACTATATTTTTGAACCAGGAGACTTAGTGCTTGTCCGTGACATGGTTGCAGAAAGTTCACTAAGTGCCAGAAATCAAAACAGGTGGAATGGACCTATGGTTATCATTGCAAGAAACAAAGGTGGATCATATATCATTGCAGAAATGAATGGTGCACTGTTTCATGGCAAGGTTGCCAGGTTCAGGGTGATTCCATATGCACAGAGGCATAAACTCAGTCTTGGAAAGAAAGTTCAAGAATTGATTGATATTTCACAAGACAAACTAACAGAGTTGATTGAAGAAGATGACTCTGAAGAAATTGAAGAGCAGGGCAAGGACTTGCAGTTCAGTGGTGTAACATTGCGCCCATCATCAGAGATTGATCATTCAGACTCTGAGTCTGAAAGCTCTGAAATTGAAGATGAGACACCTGCAGAAACTGAAGTCCTTGATCCAGTAAACCAGTCAGGGTTAAGGAGATCAAAGAGACTGAATACTAGATAGTAGACAGTCAAGACAACTGAGGACAGTTGTGATCTATGAAAAGGGGAGGGAAGCAAGAACTGCAATGTGCACTGAAAATTTTGACTGAAAATTTCGCACATGGCAATGAGCCATATAAAGGTCAAAAGAGTCATGAAAGAAGAACAGATGGGCAGATTTCAAATGAATTTTTCAATGAACTATAACTTATAGGTGATAGAGAAGTTTGGAACTTCTCAACTGCAGGAAATGAAAATCACAACAAGTGTTCACCCATGGTTTGCTGAAAAATGTAGGCACCCCATGCCCAGTGAAAAATGTAGCTGGAGGCAATGAAAAATGTAGTTGCTAAAAATGTGTGCTATGTTGACCGCGGACGGTCAATATTTATGAAAAGGGGAGATGATAGGCAGGCAAATAGACCACGCCTAAAATCGTCCTAAACACTGGAATAATTTTATTTTCAATGTTTGCACACTCAGAACACAAAAACATGCATAAACATGCAAAACAATCAATTATGAGCAGTTGTACAAGTTCTGGACTCATCTAGACCCTAAAGCGCAGATAAGGTTCAGTGGGAGAGTCATTTGGAGTCATAAGAAGCGCCAGGCAGTGCAGGCTTCTAGCCGGGAAGCACCCAGAAGGCTGTGGAAGAGTATGACTCATGAATGACTCCAACAGACAAATAAGGAAATATGACTCATGGGAAGCGCCAGGAAGGTTCTAGAGCCACAGCCACTATGACTCGAAGTTCTAGAGCGTCCTAATAAGGCATAGAGCGTCACACAAAGTCACAGGAAGTCGAATTATTAGCATTTTGGGCTATTTGGTGTTATTTGGTTCCACTAGGTATATAAGGCTGCATGTATTTTGTGATAGGCAATCAATTAATCCCCAGAAGGCTGGTAGTTTGTGACACCTCAGCCGTCACATCTATTCAGTTTTTGCTGTGGAAATCAACTCTCTAAATTGCAGGATTAAGTTGCAGGTGCAGGTGCAGGATAAACAGGTGCAGGTGCAGGTAAATTGCAGGTTACTAATATTGCAGGTGCAGGGGAGTCGAGCCATATTGCTCCTCCATCAATACAATCACATAACTCTTTGTTTTTGTTCATTCTAATCGAAAGCAAACTCAAATAATTAACAACAATTCTTTGAAGTAAACTTTAAATTCGCTAGTTGTTTCCTGCAACTCGAAACCCCGAACTCACACACACACAATAGTTAGGATTTGATTTGGTTAGAGTTTGATTGATCATTAATCTGCTCTACTGCTCATTTTCTAAGTGTATTAGCGGGCCCGCGTATATAATGCGCGATAGTGTACCCTGTACTCTATCGCTTAGATCGTCTGAAGAACTACCTTACTCCGTGCGAGGAGACGCTATCGACTCATCGGGCCCGACACGACCCGATTCGAACCTTCGACCACCGACTACGGCAAGGGACCGAGTTCACGGGCCCTTTCGGTTTCGATCTACCCCGCCCGCCATACTCGCGGGCCCGACTATTCGTCTGTTCTGTTCCGGGCGCGCGTTCTTAGGAGAAGTCCTTGCACGGCCCGACCCGCAGTCTGACAATATGAAGGAACTGCTGCTGATGCTCGTCTCTACAACACTGCCCGTGGCATGGGATTCAACTTGCCTCAACCTTGCTTCTATCTTGCCGACGCTGGATTTGCCAACTGTCGATTGTTGATGACCCCATTCCCAGCAGTTCGTTATCATCTAGATGAATGGCGTCGTGGCGGACGACAGCCAGAGAACGCAGAAGAGCTTTTCAACTTGCGACATGCCAAGCTACGGAATGCTGTCGAGCGCATCTTTGGTGTTTGCAAGCGTCGACTGCGCATCTTGATTTCTCGTCCTGAATGTAGCTACGACACCCAGTCTATGATAGTCTGCGCTGCTGCTGCGCTGCATAACTTCATGCGCATTCACCAGCCTCTCAACGAGCTCAATGACGAGGATCAATATGACCCTAGCAACCATGCTTTTCTACGTGACAATCGAGACATTCCCTGTGGACCTGCCCTTGCAATAACCGCTCAGGAGTCCCATGCAGCCAATGAACGCAGGCAGGCCATTGCAAACAGTATGTGGGCTCAATATGTGGCAGAAGGCGAGGAAGAAGACCTAGATTCGGATGATGATGATTGACATAGAGAGAGAATACAGTGTATGTCTACAGAAAGTGTGCTCGAGGTACAATGGATAAACATGCAGAGGCCGGTGCGATTCAGAAAACAGTCCATAGGTTAGACAGCCATTATGTCGTCGTCGTCAGGAACATAATTGTCAGGAACGCGCAAGCCAGCAGCAACAAAAATGTCCCGCAATTGATAGCGTTGGTGGTTGGAAGAAGGAGCAGTGAGAAGGGCACAAGCTGCTGTTGGCTCGTCACCAAGCTTGGCCATCACAACTGTATGGTAGCGTGGGTGTGGGGGAAGGAGTTCAGGGTGGTCCTTGAAAAGCTGGTTGAGAGAGACAACGTGAGATGTGTCGACTTTGGTGACAATCGGTGCCGACATGTTCTCCCCGATGAAGTGCAGGCTATTGGCCATCTGCGAAGCACCTTCTGCATTCCGCCGTGCAACAGAGCCACTGCTTGACAGTGAACGATCGCGATGCGGAGGAGCAGCGGGCTTGGACTGCTTTCCCAGGTCGTTGTTTTCATCATCCGAATCAGCGCGCTGACGCTTTCGAGACTTCCCCTTCTCTTTGTCCTCTGCCTCTTCGTCTACCTTTCGCTTCTTCTGCTCCTTTTTCTTCTGCTTCTTTGGTGCAAGCAGCTCGTCCTGGTACAGCTTGGGCCCGACTGGAAGTAGCGTGGGAAGTAGCTTCTCGGGAAGCTCGTCGTTGCTATCAGCAGCAGGGATGGATTCGTTGTCCTTGGGACCAAGGGGAAGTCGTTTGGAAGGGGAGAGAGGTTCAACGTCAATGCCAGTATCGTTGTCGTAATTAGGGTTGTATGCGCGCTCGCCGGTTGCCTTGTTACCCCCAAAAAGTTGGTCGCAAATGGTGAAGAATGGGAATGGGGTGTGAAAAACGAATTTAAATTTATGGCCATGTTGCTGCAATGCATTACAGGTCGACATGAGCAAGAAATAGATACGTACTGCAAGATAGAGCTCTTCTTTTTCCTTGTCCGCCAAAACATGTTGGTTTTCTTCATCCCAGCCCATGCCAGACACACTTTTTGCATGACAGTACCCATCATATCGTTTTTTTATCTAGCGCGGAGTTAGTATATTGTTGGCAAGGTGGTTGTGGTATGAGGACGCACATAGTTGACACAATTCCGCCATTGGTCTGCCTTGTGCTCAGGTCTATCTGGATAAGTCTCTTTCATCGCCTTCGCTACCTGGGTAAACGCCTTCGTCTTGAATCCACGACCAGACATGAGGTCTGCGCGATGCTCGAGGATGTACTGCAACGCGTAGCGCTTAGCTTGAGCGGAAATGCTGCCTTTGGAGTCTTCTTCTTCATCTTCTTCCTCCTGCTGGTCGTCACTTTCATCGCTGTCCAAGACCTCAAGGACCATTTGAGCATCGGGAGTTAGCGCTGGAATCCGTGGCGGTATGATGATGGTCGGTTTGGGAAGGGGAGGGGTGGCTACATCTGGAATGGTCTTCGACGTGTCCTTGACCTTCGTTTGATTGGCTGGTGGCTTGGACGTCTTTCCCGAGGCTGATTTGGCACGAGGAACGGTGGAAGACTTGGACTTGGTGTGAGAGCTTGAAGTAGTGTTGTGGGAAGTCGCTCCCGGCTGGCGCTCGCGAGCCATAACTTATCATAATCAGTCTAGGGAGTCAATAGTGTAGTTGTAGAGGCATGCAATAAGTGTGTAGAGTCTATCGCTGGCCGACAGACGATGTAGAGAAAGAGATGTGGCAAGCTGTCACCGGTGTGTGACGCCTCATCATTCAGCAGCTTCCGCCATTCACGCGTGAAACCCCTCGCACCCGATCAGGGCCTTACTCTCATGGCGCCGCGCCGTCGACAGACGGCGGAATCCGCAGTGGCAACGCTGCTCCACCTTCCTCCCGAGATATGCGCTTTGATATGTGCCGTTGTTGAACCTAAGACGTTATTCGCCCTGGCGCGTGTATCGCGCACGTTTCGCGACGAAGCACAAAGACTCATCTTCCAGAGCGTTGACCTGCGCGATAGCGGGAAGGCGCTGGCGGGCTGGTGTCGGGCCGTCTCCCGCAATGCCCGGCTGGGCGGATACGTACGGCGGTTCACGATCTCCTCGCGGGAGGTCGTCGCTGGCTCAGACGACCCCGCCCGCGTGGCACGTGCGCTGAAGAAGTGCACCGGCCTGCAGCGCCTGGCGGTACACGCGCTCGCGGAGTTTGGCGGGGGACCGGGGTGCGACGCAGACGTGGGTCATCGACCACGTGTCCTTCCGCCTAACCCACTTCTCCAACTCGCACTTTCGCTTTGCGTTCCTGCGGCAATTTTTCAACCGCCAGACGGACATCCGCGTGTTGTCGCTGCCAATGATGCCGGTGGGGCTCCTGGACGGCGCATTTCCCTGCTCAGACGACCAGCTGCCGAAGCTGATTGCTCTGGAGGTGCCCTCCACAGACCTGCTTCCAACGGAGCCACGGCCGCTGCAGCGCATCCAGCTCCGCCTCACCCACCAGTACATTCCACGCGATCTCACCCGCCTCCAGCTATTTGCGGCGACGCTCACGAGCCTCAGCATCTCCGAGGTGGCCGTCATATCCCTCGAGGAGACTTTTGCCGCGATCGCCCAGGCGGTCCCGCACCTGCAACATCTGGCGCTGACCGAGAACCTTGTCCCCTACTTGTATGTCAGCACGCCACACTGTAAACCAAGTCCAACGCAACTGACATTCATAGTGACGAGAGCGACGAGCAATTCCGGCGCACCGAGGTCCAGCCGGCCCCCCGCGCCGCCCTCCCGCGGCTGCGCCAGCTCAAAACGCTCGTGCTGTACACGTACCACATCATCACCCTCGTCGACGGGCTGACAAACCGCAGCTACCCGCTCCTTGAGCCTGAGCGCGTCGCGGAGCTCTTCCTGGAGATCGCGCCGGGGCTGAAAACGGTCACAATCGGGGCGTACGCCGGGTCGCCGCGCTGGCGGCTCGTGGCTGCGGAGACAACGTGCACCCTCACCCGCGGGGAGGGATCCGCGGCACATACGGTGAAGATTGGAAACGGGTACGACTTCAATGCGGTGTCGCAATTCTGGGATTAGGACTACAAGTTTCTGGACTGTTCAAGCTTAGTAATGACTCTACTGGGATGAATATACGCGTCGACGTCGGCATGGACTCACTACTGGGCAAGTATATATATTATATATAACACGATCCAGGCGTTTAACTATGGCTACAGGCCGTCGACAACAGCCACGCCAATCTCGAACATAGGCACGGCTGCACGTCGGTGGCTTGCCGGTGCAAGTGTGCTGCTGCTGCCGCAACATCGCCGCTGCTCCGATCCGGCAGGCCGGCGGCGTATGCGAATGGCATCATCGGGAAGGCATCGCACGCGCGTTGATGGGGTACAAAGCTAGCTCCATTGGGGTCGAAGTTAGCTCCATTGCTATTGTAGCATGGAGCGGCCGGCTGCCAGCCGGAGTGCGGCTGACTCGGCGCAAGTGACTCGTTGCCCCAGCTCGCGGTACCGGGCCACTGCCAGCTAACCATGGAGTCCCGATACGGCATGCCGGTCTCTCTGGTCATGTCCCATGGCATGATGGCCGAAGAATCGACTGGATGATCGACAGCGGCATCCGCGCCGCAATTCGCCGGCCAGTTCAAATCATCCCTCGGGCCTATTCCCAGTGACGGCACGGTGCCGGACGCCCCTGGGTATGGCTGCAGCAGTGCCGGGTAGACCTCAGTATTCTGTGGTGGTGGCATCGTGCGCGTGATCGTCGATGTTGATGCAGTCGGTGAGTGTGAACTTCCTGTCGAGGATTGCCAATAATGCCCGGAGTTCCAGCCCTGAAGGAGGGACTCAGACTCGGTCGCAATGGAAACAGGGGCGACAATGTGGTTGGACGCGCTTGACGCTGTCCCAAGCACAGCGGCGCGTGCCGTTGGTGCCGCAGGCAGCCGCCTTCTTCCTCGCCGCACCCGAGCTCGGCCTTCCCGGGCCGGCGGTCTTGTATCCAACTCGATGCGTGGTGGGCGCCGGTCATAGCGTCTGTCCGACCCGCCCACTGTCACTGGCTCGTAGACACACACGCGTTCGCTCTTGCGGCAGCGCAGGCACCCCCAGGCCTCGGATTCCGTCATACACTGGGGCCAGAGGTCAATCATCGTCATAGGTAGAGAGACACCGGCAGGAGCGCTCGCCTTTGTCTTGCTGGCGCGACAGTACGTGCACGCGCGAGAGACGCGAATGGGAACGCGCACATGATCGTGATGCACCGCGTTTTCGTCGAGCAACGTGCTCGTGCCAGTGGTGAACGACGCGGAGGGCCCAGGACGCGGACTACAGGAGTTCATGCTGCTGAGATACTTAGTGTAGCGCCTGGAGGAAGAGACTCTTATACACCTGTCCTCCGTCATCGTCGATCGGGAGCGGAATTCGAAATCGATGCCAACATTGATCCCCTGCGCCGGCGGCGGTGTGAACGCAGCTGTCAGTTGCCTTATTGACATCTTTATTCTAGGGCTTCTTTCAAGTTTTTTTAGGCACGTTAGTCTGATGGATCCACCACCATTGATTGTTCCGTTGATGCGGCTACCACAGGCTGTGGCGACACCAGTACCAAGAAATGGATGCGGCTACTAGTAGCAGCCTGAGATCATGATGTACAAACACAATTGTCGCAACACTTGCAAGTACTGCGGGAAAGAAAGCCTTAGGCCGGACCCTCAACTTGAAGTGGGACTCGGAGACGCTTGACTCGAATTGATCCATACAGCTCCGAGTGTGTCTTCGTCGATCGCCATAAAAGGAACAGGGCTGTGGGCACGGAGTCTGCCACGGACACGGACTGATGCCAGTGGTGAGAGGCTGTGCACTGAGACCATGAAATGAATTCAAATCATCAGACAAAACCGTGATATTCCGGAGTCGGACCGGACGGAAGTTACGGTGTTCCAATGCAAAGTAGGGGCCGCTTTCAAGTTGGCGTTCTGCCAGTGTCACGGTGATTTTCACTCGTACGTATAGACTTGGACTCCGTGACTTGCCAGATTCTCTAGTCCGAGTGTGTGACTCATTGAGATAGTTGCACCGAAAGTTTGTGACATCCGGCGGCATCCGGCGGCATTTGGCGGCATCCGAACAGTCCTATCCGAAGATTACAATTGCTTCAGAAAAATATCCAGCTTGCTTTTTTTTTGTCTTTTTTTGGTACATCTCAGGCTCCCGTCCAGTCTGATCGATCCAGCGCGATTCGCGATTGCTCCGTTGATGCGGCGGCGCCAGTCTCAAGAAATGAATGCTACACATCCAGACGCACAAACACAATTGTATCAACACATGCAAGCATATTAGTATGCTATCTTTTTGCCGTCAGAATTCTGACTTGGTCTCTAATTCTACCAGCTCAACCATCTCCCAGATCCGATCCCACCATAGTATTTTCCACCCGTATTTAGATGTCCGCCCGCGCCGTCGTTGCCGACGCGACATGACCTTCGCCCTGCGGCGGCGGGCTCGGGCTGTTGCTCTGTCCAAACGTCATCCAGGTGCCGAAATACCCAGAAACACGGAGACGCACCACTGCCATCGTACTCATGTGCCCATCATCATCATCATTATCGTCCGAGTCGTCCTCTTCGACGTCCGACATCATCGCGCTCATCGCGGCTAGCTCATCGGCGCCCTCGGCCATGTTCTGCTATCGACAAGTGAGAAATATATAGTAGCGCGGTACACAGAGGGAACGCACCATCTCTTGCGTCTTGTCGGCCGCGGGCGGACCGGCAGCGGACAGTGATGCCGACGCCGATGCCGGAGCTTGGACGGCGCTAGCGACTGGACCCGGCGCGAATCGGAATGCACCCGGAGCGAGGGGCTGAGAAGATGAGTGGGTCACAGTACAAGGTAGGAGCCGAAACGTACCGCGCTCTGGGAAACAAGCTGCATCGCCTCGCGAAGATGGACATCGCCCGACCCGGAACCCGACGCCTGTGCAGCATCGATCAATCATCAAACAGACCGAAACCAAGAGACCGACGTACCTCCGCGCCAGCGTTGCGCGCATCAGCGGCGGCGGCGTCCTTGAGCAGTATCATAATCGTTTGTTCGTCCAGGCCGGGGTTTGCCGCGAGCTACGGTGAGGCGGTTAGAGAGCGGGTGATGATGGGACGTGGCCCACCATCTGACGAGTGAGCTGGGCGAGGAATGCGTCGTTCCGCGGGCCCGGTGCGAGCTCTGGAATTTTAGCGTGACCGTGCACGTGCGGGTGCATGTGCGACTGGGCGTGCGTATGGGGGCGCCAAGGAGGCGACGATCTGAGGACCGACGACGGTGACTGTTAAAAACACTTAGTTTCTGAAAGCACAACGATAGCGATGGCACCTGGAGCAGTTTCTCAGACTCGGCTATCGCGCGCTCGTACTCCTCTTCGAGCTGGTCCCGTGGGCTCTGTTCAATAGAGCATCAGCCGCCGTACTAGTAAACTTGAAGACGCGCCCCTAGGCCGCACCTGGTGAGCCAGCGAGCTCATGGGCAGCATATCCGGCAGGGCGTAGCCCGAACCCTGAGACAGAATTAGTTAGTGCACGGATGGTACAGAGAAAAAACGGACCGCCAAATAACCCCGCACTTGTGCGATCTCTGCATCGAGCCGGGCCTTGATATTCTCAGCTTGCTGGGGGGACCCGTTCTGGAGGAGATGGTCATAGACGGAAGCAGAGTGGACAGGGACACACGAGTTTGTAGTCGTCGAGGGCTTGCAGCAAGTCGGAGTCAAATCCCATCATGTCGGCCGCCGGGAAATGCGCTTTCTTGGTGACAATGAGCGATATGGCAACGTCAGCGTGCACGGCCCACCTCCTTGCCTTTGCCCTTCGAGCTCCCCTCTTCGACGCGAAACGGCATCGGGGTCGGCGTCGGCATGGGCATCATCGCAGGGGCGGGGACAGCCTGACGAGGGGCGGAGTGGTCCGAGTGGACATGCTACACGATCATGAGGAATATATGACAATGCTAAGGTCAGGACGTACCCCGGCTTTGGCAAGGTGCTGCTTCAGATGTTCGACCTCGCGGTTCAGTCCGTCCACCTCGCGCTGCTTGTCGTCGAGCGCGCGCGTCAGCACAGCGATGAGCGTGGCTTGCGACACGTGCGTATGCGGCTGACTATGCGAGTGGGCGTGCGAGTGCGTATGGTCATGAGCGGGCGGGGTCTGAGGGGTTGGCGAAACCGGGGCGTTAGCAGGAGGAGTCGGCGCCGGCGAATTGGAAGGAAACATGTCTGTAATGGGAGGATACACAGAACATGTCATTTAAGGAGCCGGGTGACGGAAGGGGACCCTACTTACCCTGAAATCGATGAAGAATCCCGTCGGCGTGACGAGGTCATCTGGCATCGTCAGGGTCGGGCTTCGCCGCGGGACATGAGGCTGGGAAGAGAGGACATGGATTTGCGTGGTCGCTCCCTCAGCCTCGTGGACGGAGAGGCTGGAAAGCGGCTGCGGCTAAGGAGGGCGGCCTCTGTCATGAAGGCGGAAGGAAAAGTTTGTTGACACGCTGAGTCATCACCGTGTGACTGTGTGAATTGATGACGGCACGATGACGCGTCTTGGTTTTCTCCTTCTTGACGCGCCCGCTCTCAGCCGGTCCATCCGTCGCGCGCTTCTGCTGGCGCCTCCCCCTCATGATGGATTAGGCGCCATCCACTAGTGACTCGGACGTGGCACTTGCCTTGACAGATATGGACATGCTCCCGACGAGAACAGGCGCCATACTTGCTTCTATGCCAGTGGAGAGCAAATGGTGAGACCCCCGGTCGGTCACCGTCGGTGTTGCCACAAAAACGTGGCGGCCGGCAGATCCACCGCGCATAGCCCCGTGCTTGTCTCCATCTGTCGGTCTTTCCTGGCGCTTCGATACCCGACTCGGACAACCGCAGCGGGTTTTGTGCGCCCATCTGAAATCCACATAGAACATCAGCGTCCTCATCTCGCATGGGCTAGTCGACATCGACATAGATTCACTGCTGGTATAAAGTATGTACATAACAAATCCTTTTCAAGCACCGGGTGTCTGACCATGAGTACAGGCCATCGATAACAACCACGCCAGTCGCGAGCAGAGACAAGGCTCCCCCGCCCGCGTGTCCGCCGTCTGGCCCTGCCAGTGTGCTGGTGCTGTAACGGCGCCACCGCCGAGCGGGCCGGTAACATTTCCGGTGGACATGGGAGCGAAGGCACCGCCCGCGGTTTGATGGAGGTGGGCATCACCTCCCGAAGCCATGCCAAACAAATCGAAGTTGGCTCCATAATGATTGCTATCGAAGGACGGAGCGGCCGGTGCCGAAGCCGTGCTCATCTGCCAATCGAAATCGAGGTGCGGCTTACTCGCCGCGAGCGACTCGGCGCGGTCCGCGGACCCGGGCCACTGCCAATCACCGACGGCCTTGAAGTTTAGGATGTCGAGCCCATTGGTGGCGGGCCATGGTGTAGTGGTCGACCGGCGGAACCCGACCGTGCTGGGGTCACGGTGATCGAACAGCGCCGGATTGGTATTATTGGTCCGGGGTGCTCGCATACTTGGGTCTGATGCTGCAAATGATTGCCAATCAAAAGGGGCAGTGGAATCCCAACCCTCGAGGACGGTAGAGGATGGTGGGATGATGCGAATCGCAGCGCCAGACGGTGCCACTGGTTCGGCAACAGCCGCGCCGCGCGGCAATAATGATACAGGCAAACGCTTCCTTCCTCGCCGCACGCGCCGTTCAGACGGCCCCACACTCCGGGCCGGCGTATCATCATTGTTGTCTCGTGATGACCGGTAGTCATGGTACTTAGCTACCGGCTCGTAGATGCACACGCGCCCGCTCTTGCGGCAGCGTAGACAATCTGGGGCCTGTGACGCCGAGTCTGCCATACACTGTGAATAGTTTCAGTCACCTGATAATATATATCATGAGTTAGCCACAACTCGCCTTGATTTTACTGGTCCGGCAGTGTGTGCACGCGCGCCATACACGGTCTGGGACGTGGGATTTGTTGAGAGGCGGCGGCCCGGGCGGCGCGTCGCCAACGCTAGCACCGGAGGAGGTGTTGTTCATTTCCAAATTGGAGCTTGCACAGAGCAAATCGAGGGGCCAGGAGTTCGTACTCATGGGACGTCTGAGAGACTGAGATGCAGTATGCCAAGGCTCCTATATACTGGTATGCGTAGCGTGAGACCAGTTGAAGCTGTCAGCAGTGTCATTGGAGGGAAAGATTGATGGCCGAATCGAAGCCCCATTGCTTGATGGCCGAATCGAAATGGGGCTTCGATTCGGCCATCAACCTTTCCCTCCAATGACACAGTGTTTAATTCGGCCACAAGGCCACAATGACAGACTACTCCGGATCCCTAGAATACAGCACGAGTCAGGATAGCTCGGATCTCTTAGTTTCAATTTAATGTTGATTTAGTCAATTTTAGTGATGATACTTCCTTAGCTGTTAATAATCTGTATCAGGTGATGATCCTTTCATTCCATGGCTCATGGAAACACAACCTGAGCTTACTTTCATATGCCTGGTATTGCACTACAAAGTGGCACACAAAGGATATTTTCAAAGATTATTAAATCTAAATATCAAAGCTGTCAGACTGCGGGTAGGGCCGTGCAAGGACCTCTCCTGAGAACACGTGCACAGAACAGAACAGACAGGTAGTCGGGCCCACAATATCGGAGACATACTGTAAAAAAAGATTGGAGACAACTTGGGTAAAATACAACAAAAAATATGGTACAACTTCATATTGACTACAACTACATGTTTGTCAAATACAACTTTAGCAATAACATGTACAACTGGAATTGCTAAGGTTGAACATGTCTCCAGAAAAGTTGTCATCAAGTATAAACATGTCACCAGCCAGAGTAAAACATGTCACTAGAAAAGTTGTCTCTGGGGTTGACTTGTACATGTCCACAGGGTGAAAAGTTGTGTCTAATTCTCAAAGTTGTATATAAAAATTGTAAAAAAGGTAAGTTGTATCTCCAAAAAGTTGTATTCATTTCAAAACATGTATGAAATACTTTTTTTACAGTATGTCCCCCATACCACAAGTACGGTGGGCGGGGTAGATCGAAACCGAAAGGGCCTGTGAACTCGCTCCCTGGTCCTTGTCAGTGGTCGAAGGTTCGAATCGGGTCATGTTGGGCCTGATGAGCCGCAATGGCCCGACACCAGCACCGGAGCGGACGGGCCAGGTCTTATCCGTGACAAAATCCCTGTATGGAAATCAACTTTTATCAACATAGAAAGGACTTGAGCAACTGAGGGGACATTCAAATCATGGATATAGGGTAGGAAAGTTTTTTTTTCGACCATCTGGGGACCCCCCCCTCCCCCTCCCACCATATAGGGTAATATGTTCGCACGATCAGCATCATGTGACTACTGATGCCATCAAAAACTGGTGTGAGGATTTAATCTTTGTGAAACTCTTTTTTTTTAAAAAAAAATTAGGTATTTGTATAGTATGTGTGTAGGTATCTATGTGCCTGGAACTCTCAAACACACATGGGCAGGTCTATCTTTTGCTGAGTTGGAAAAGTACAGTAAAAGCAGCACTTTCCTTTTGAGTTTCTTGCAGGAAGAAAGAACATCTTTGTGCAACAACAAAAGACAGAAACATCTTTCTGTGCACACCTTTCTGTGTCATTGAACTGAGTTCTTTGTGTAGCTCAAAAAGGAAGTTTGAAAGAGGGAATTTCCCAGGAGCTTTCCTTCGCTCCAAAAGGTCACCTTTTTTCAGTAGACAGAAAGACATGCAGAAAGGCCATATTTTAGATGACCTTTCATGAGCAGAGAAAGATGACTTTTTTTTTGCAGCTGAAAGGGATGCAAAAAGTAACTATTTTTGTTTCTGTTTCTATTCAAATGAAATATATTATTTCTTTTACAAGAAATATAGAGTTAATTAGGTAATTTCAATTTACCTTTCTGTTGGAAAAGAAATTTTTGAATTTGTCGTGTGATTATCATCTGGTGACTAGCTCGTGGTGTGTACATTAGCATAGTTGATCATGAATAATCGTTTATCATTAGCATCTCTCTCTCAGAGTCTCTCTCCCTCTGTTCACCTCGTCAAAATCATTGCAAAATCAGCTTCACCTCGTCAACAACAACTCCAACCCCTCCCGTCCCACCACGCGCACCCCGGCAAACCCGCGTCGCCCCGCCCAGCACGTCTGCGCGCAGCACCCCTGCGGCGCGCCGCCACGGGCTGCAAGTCCGGGCCGTCCCCCCGCGCGAGCCGGCGGTGATACTCCGCGCCCGGCGGCATGCCACTCGCCCGGAGAAAAGCACGTGCGGTCCGCGTGCATCAGCGGCATGCAGAAGTACGCGTAAATGGCCGCGAGCACGTCGTCGAGCGTGACCGGCCCGCCGCCGCCGAGGTGATGGACAATGATCGGGCCCCAGCGGGCCTGCCACGGGGCCAGCGGGGAGACGGCGTCGGCGAAGGTGATGGTGAGCGCGGCACAGGGCGGGTGTGTTGCTGCCTCGGCGAAGTCGGCGTTCGATACCGTGTGGTGTTGCGGCGAGACCGAGAGTTGTGCGGTAGACGGCCGCTGGGTGATGTCCCAGGAGAGGAACGGGCATTGCCCGGGCGAGTTTTGGAGGTGCTTGTGGAGGAGGAGATGCGGGACGACCAGTCGTGTGGGCTGTTTTGCAGAGGGTGAGAGGTCGTAGTGGATTGGGGAGGGGGGAGGGGAGGTCAGCTTCGCCGCTGGCAGGGAAGGTTGAGCGGTCGCTCGGCGGATGGCGGGGGCTGGTGTAGCTTCAGGCCCGGAAGACGAGCTGCTACTCAAGCTGTGGGACCAGTGCACGTGCGTGTCTCGTTCGCGGCGTGCCTGCCTCCTAGTGATCATAGTGTGATAGCTTTAGACTATCCTGGAATGCCACTTGTCTATAGTGTTTCTGTTTTAAATTTGGTCAAGCACAATGATGTTCTGATATCTGGGTCAAAAATGCATGGATAATCATGATCCAAGTTGTATTATACATTGATGAAAGTCTATCATAGCTCTGAGAGATGCACCTATCTGAGCCGTAGTGGTAATATTTAGCCTAAAAAGCTCTAGGAATAGCTAGAATAGCGGTAGCCTAGAAATCTAGGTATTCCTAGTCCCTATGTTCTAGCAGGGTAATTATTATGATATTATTCTTTATTTATTTATTTTCTGCCTTTATATTGCCTTAATTTTGATGGGGATTGTGGTCCTTGATATATATTATTGATG